AATGCCTTTTACATCCATCCTTTCTACTCTCTCTTACTCATCAATTCCCATGGTTGCCATCAGTGTTTAGGCCCTTGCACACACACAATTTTCTGCCTCTGTCTCTTGTTTTCTGTATAACAAAAACCCATCAATGCTACCCACTGCTGCAAGTTAACTTCCTAAAACCCTACTTATTTGTTGCCCTTCCTATATTCAGAAATTTGTGGTTGCTTCCTTCTCCTACAAAATGAGATTCCAGCCTCTTCATAATATCACCTCAAACTACTTTTCCAACCTATTTGTCATTATTCCTGAAAAGAAACTCTTTGCTCCAGACAGGCTGGTGTACTCATGATTCACCCACCTTCAAAACGTTTGATTGTGAGTTAAGTACTTATTAACCATTTATTATGTGTAAAACCCATTCATTCATTCACCAAATCTTTACTGAGAAGCTATTCCATCCGGTAATGTAATGATGCTGCAGACACAGTGGTGAACAAGACAGACAAAGTTGCTGTCCGCCTGGAACTGAGACAAATGGGTTACAGGGAGAGACTCTAAAATATGGTGGTCCCAGCCCAGGATACTCGCAATCTTCCATTGAAAGGTCAAATGAATCAACACATCCCTGAGGGCTGAACTTTGTGGTCCAGGCAGCAAATGAGGGAAGAGTTCAGAAAGAAGGGCTGGCTGGAGTGACAGCTGGACTGTGGACGCGGCTTCATTGATGTGGGACTCAACCTGTGCACTCAAGGATGAGCATAGGAGAGAAGCAGGTGCCTTTCTTCAAGGGATATATGAGGAAAAGCAAAAAGGTGGAATGGAAACAACAGCAATAGTATCAGCTTATTTTGCTTAAGGGTTCATTCAACACCTATTCAGCAGACTACATACTCTGCCCTTGCAGGGCCCCAGGCTCCGTGGTAGATGTGAAGATAACAGACTCAGCTCCTACCGTCAGGGGATTTCCATCTAGCAAGGAGAGAAGGCAGGTACATGATGGTCTATCACAAACAAACCGTGAGATGTTCCATAAGAGAGCAGACAGAACACGGCGGAAGTTTGGAAGGTGCATGTCTGGGCTGCATAACAGTACTTACAGCATCACATTTTTATGCATCTGCATCATCATCAGCATCACAAAGTATTTTAAATATTTTGTGCAAGTATTTAAAATAACTGTCTTGTTTCAAAGGGCTTTCTCACTCACTCTCATTTTATGCTAAGTGACTCAGAAAACAGGCAGAGTAGGTATGTTTTCCATTGGGGGCAAAGTGTGGCACACATCTTGTAACTCGTCTACTCGGGTAGGGAACATAAACGGGCCAGAGTAAAACAAGAACATCCTGTCCATCGCCGCCCACTCCTGCAGCATTGGAAGTATCTAGAACTGAGGACGCACACTAACTTCTGTAATCGTATGACACCTGGCAGGTGCAGTGAAGCCAGGAAGGCACTTTGGATTGAAAAGGGCATGACACAGGCAGCATTCTGGAGAGAAAACGTAAGCTAAGGCCATTCCCCCATTTTTGTTTTACCTCCCCAAGTCCTGCCTGAATCAACCCCCACCCTTAGGTCTGCCCAAACCACAACCATCCCTTAGGGTTCACCCCAAATATTTTCAGCCCACACTGGTTTTTTTCATTCCGTTGTTTTCACCCCCACTAATATCCCAGGGAAAGGCGAGTGGCCGTTTCTCTCCTGGACATCATAGCAGGCCCAGCCACCACACTGCTCGGCTCAGAGCAAGTAGCATGAGCCCAGTGAAAGAATTCCTGAGACCGCCACAGCTCAGTATGTCCTGAGCTCCCACATCCCTCCCCCAATAGAGTGGGTCTGCCTTGCACAGGCGGCCCTAGCAACCCGGAGGAGCTCACTAAGCGCAGAGAGCTGGGGGCGCGTGGGGTGGGCCGGGTGGCCCGAGGCGCTGGGCCAAGGGGAGCCGAGCGCGCGACCCCAGGTGCAAGTCGGAGCTAAGGCTGCCGCGCTCCGGCAAAACGCGCTTGATGAGGTCGTTAAATATTTTCCCTTCTGGAAAATTGCCGGGGAAAAGTGGTGAAAACGAAGCTGGGAGGGCGACAGTCCTGGGAGTCTAGGAGCCCAGACACCCCGGACCCAATCCCGCAGGGAGAAGAGGGAGGGGAGCGGGCGCAAAAGCCATTCTGGCTCGGAGAAACGCAGCAGCTTTTGCCGCAGGAAGAACCTAGGCCTGGACGCATCGCGAGATCTGGGGGTCGGGATCACGTTGCGTTGCCTAGCGACAGCAAGGACGCTCGTGGGCCCCCAGGCTAAACCCCGCTGTAGCCTTTTAAATCTCCTACCATGGGGGAAGAAGGCGGCGGCCGCAGCTGTGGGACCACTAGGGAGCTGCAGAAGCTGAAGCAGCAGGCGATGGAGTACTACCGGGAGAACGACGTTCCGCGCAGGCTGGAAGAGCTGCTCAACTCAACCTTCTACCTACAGCCGGCCGACGTCTACGGGCACCTGGTAGGGACCTGGGACACGCGCCCTCCTCCCTCCAGCCCCTCTCCCCCCGCCCAGCGCTGCGGTAACGCGATGCGCCGCGCCGCAGAGTCGCGCATGCGCGCTGCCGGGGCCTTGGGTCTGCGTCTAGCGGAGGAGACTCCAGGAGGGAAGGAGCGGGGAGGACACCCTGGGGCGAAAGGATCTCCGCAGAGAAAGTAGTGGAAAGGAAGCAGCAGGAGAAAAGAGGGCTCTAGGCGGATTTGACCTGCGGCGACAGCCCAGGGCCTGGCAGGCTTCATCGCTACCTAAGGGGCTCTCCGCTTATGGGTCGGCCCGCCACTCATGGCTGCCAATTGTCATTTTTAACACAGACCTTAATGCCCCCAGCTCAGCTCACCGACCTTCAGCAGCTCCCTTTTGACCACAGAATGAACACCTTGGTGTTTGCTACAGCTTGGCCTCTCCCTAGCCTGGGGCCTCATTCTACTGGCTCCTCTGCCGGGATGCCTGCTTCTATCTGACCAGCCCCCTCCCTAAACTCCAAAATTCAGACCAAAGCCTTGCCCACGTAGCCCTGGACCAACCGTCCTTCTGGGTGCCTACAGCATGTCCTTCGTATATTCTAGGCCCCTGAGGCAGCCTCCCTAGGCAGCCTGTGAGCCTCTGCTGGGCACAGGGGCCTTTTCTTATCACCTTTCGAGTCTGTGCCCAGCCCGGAGATCTGGCACATACCTTAACCTTAAGCAGTGAGCAGTTGAAGCAAACGCGTTTTCTCCCTTCCAGATCCAAAAGTAGTAACCCACACTTACCGTCTGGAAGTCAAGTGTGGTCGGGGCTTCTAGGAATTTGCACTGTGGCGAGGGAAAGCAAGGAGGCAGTGTGAACACCAAGCAGAATGAGGGCTATGAAGAAGCAGATGTGCTGTCAGGATACAAAACCACGTCGTGTTGAGGCAGTTGATATAAAGGATGATCCGAGAATTTTTTCCCCTCATTCATGGCCTATAAAAGGGGAGAAGTAAGGGGTTTACTGAGCCCCTTGTGCTGCATGCTATAACTTACTTAGTCCTTAGTACCACTACGATGTGGTAAAAATGATGATTCCGGCTGGGTGCGGTGGCTCACACCTGTAATCCCAACACTTTGGGAGGCCGAGGCAAGCAGATCACCTGAGATCAGGAGTTCCAGGCCAGCCTGGCCAACATAGAGAAACTCGTCTCTGCTAAAAATACAAAATTTGCTGGGCGTGGTGGCGCCTGCCTGTAATCCCTGCTACTCGGAAGGCTGAGGCAGGAGAATCGCTGGAACCTGGGAGGCGGAGGTGGTGGTGAGCCAAGATCGTGTCATGGCACTCCAGCCTGGGCCACAAGAGTGAAACTCTGTCTCAAAAAAAAAAAAAAAGAAAACATGGACTCTCGTTCCCCAGTACAATGATCTCATTCTATTAAGCAGCCAGGATATTTGTTTGTACAGCTCTCAGGGAACTTATATCTTAGTTTGGGACAAAAGTCACTAATATATAAAATAATTGGAGCAAAAGAGAAGGTGATAGATGACTGTGTGCCAGATTGAGGGACAGATCTCTATATGCTAATAAAGGAATTAGGGATGGAAAAGATCCTTGGAGGCTGTATATCCAGGAAGCCTTTGGCTTGGACTTTGGAGGATGTTTAGGAATTGCAGAGGCAAAAAAGCAACCTCCTTTTCCTTTTATTTACTGCTCTAGTTTTGGCCGTGCCTACTCTCACCTAGTCTCGCCCTCTATCTAGCCCATCCTGCAGAGTGCTGCTAGAGCAGTGTCCTAGCATGCAAGTCTGACCATAGCTCTCTTCCTCAGAAACCTCCTGTGGCTTTCGCCTGCTTGCTGGCCTTCATGTGTGTGGTTCACAGTGCTCAGCCCCTGTCTCTGGTAACAGATACATCTCCCACTCCCCTGCCTTGCTTCTCTACACCGAATCACTGACTTTTTTCCTAAAGCCAGAAGTTTCCTACCTTTCTCCTCTTTGCTTGTCCTATTTCCTCTCCCCAAAGTATCTGCTCTCCACATCACCCCCTTTACTGCCACTGAAACATTATACCTCCTCCAGTGTTCAGCTCCAATATAATTTCTTCTGTCCCTCTGCGACACTGATATGGTTTGGCTCTGTCCCCACCCAAATCTCATCTTGAACTGTACTTCTTGTAATCCCCACATACAACTTGTGTGGAAGGACCCTGTGGGGGTAATTAAATTATGGGAGTGGTTACCCTCATGCTGTTCTCTTGATAGTGAGTGAGTTCTCATGAGATCTGATAGTTTTATAAGGGGCTCTTCCACCCCTAGACTTCACTTTGCACTTTTCCTTCTGGCCATCACATGAAGAAGGATGTGTTTGCTTTTCCTTCCACCACGGTCGTAAGTTTCCTGAGGCCTCCCCAGCTGTATGGAACCTTGCTCATGAGCCATGGTCAATTAAACCTCTTTCCTTTATAAATTACTCAGTCTCAGGCAGTCCTTTATAGCATGTGAGAACAAACTAAGACAGACATATTAGAGAAATTCACACATGGTAAAGATCATTGCAGGCAATAACAATACAATTTACTCCATCATCACAAAACTTAATGATTGAAAGAGTTTTGGATTGGGAATATGGCAGATCTGGTTTTGATTTTTAGCCCTGCCACTTCCTCACTGTGATAGAGTTACACTGATGGTTCTCCAAGGAACTAGACCTCCAGTGTGAACACTCTTTTGTAAGTCCCTCCCACACTGACTCTGGACTTGGCCATGTCACTTACTTTGATCAATAGGACCTTGGCAAGCACGATAGAAACAGAGAGTTGATAAGTGCTGGCATATTGAAGCTTGTCCTCTTGGAAGCTAGTCATGCTGCTGTGAGGATGTCCCAATTACCCTGCTGGAAAGAGAGAAATTGTGTAGAGAAAGATCCTGACAGATACGTGACTCCTCAGAATATCCTGTGAGAGAGACAGATGCCCAGCCAGCCCCTCACTGTGCCAGCCATCCCAGTGAGGCACTCGACATTGAGTGAAAACAGCTTGGATATGCTGGTTTTTGTCAAGCCTCCAGATGATTACATCTGTATAAGGGACTCCAAACAAGCCCATCAAAAGAATTTCCCAGTTGAAGCTCCTCCCAGATTACAGGATCATGAGCAAGTTAATGGTTTAAACCACTAAGATTCGGGGAGGTCTGTTACAAAGTAGTAGATAAATGAAAACATTGGCTAAGTGATCTTAGACAGTTAATTTTTGTGGAACTCAGTCTGCTCATGTGTGGGATGGAAATGATACCACATACCTTAGAGAGTTGTGTTGTGAATGTAATGATACAATGTATATATAGTGCCCAGGGATGTAACTGACATTTATTAATTTATATAAGATTTAATTTATAGAATCCTATATATGTCAGGCCCTGTGGTTTTTGATATAGTGATAAAGAAGACATAGTCACTCTTTCAAAGCACATATTAAGCACTTTAAAAATGTTAGTTCCCATCCTCTGCTAACACAACACGTGACACATTATAGGTGCTTGGTGCTTCTTAAATTGAACTCACTATAACAAACAGAGTGTAAGCTAAATAGCATTTTTCCTCTCCTGATTCTAAATTCATTTAGGCACTTACTCTGTAACATGCAAACCACCATTAAAAAAAGTCATGGATAGCTTGAAAATGAGCTCTTGCTTAATACTTCTGAACTTGTGTGTCCCACCTCCGAACTGGTGTGTCACTGTAGGTATTAGATGACCTGTTGTCTAGGTTGAAGTCACTGGATTTTGAACTGAAAGATCAGAGACCTGGTCTGCTAAATGAAAGCAAAGCCCAATACTATCTAGTAATCAAGAGAGCAATAAGGGTGTGCCTTCACCTTCCCTCCTTCCAGTCTCTCCTAGCTCCTTTTCCTCTGCACAGAAACACCTCCCTGAACCTTTTTATGCAGGCTCCTTGAGTAGGCTTTCTACCTCAGCTTCTCTTTCTTCAGTCTTTTTCTTAGATCACTTCCAAATGGCTTCTGCTTTCCACCTCAGTGAAACTGCTATTACTAAGGTTCCCAACAAGCCTCTTTGAATACATAGGACTGTGCATGAGCTGATGGTAAGATATAGCCACTGCGTAAGTCTTTACCACTAAAATATCACATGCCTCACTGAGAGGAATAAAAATCGGCTCATGGCAGGCTTCTTAAATTTAAATGCATCATGGTGTTCTAGAAACCAGTTGGTTTCTGTATCTTGAAACAAGGGGGCTGGGCACAGTGGCTGATGCCTATAATCCCAGCACTTTGGAAGGCTGAGGTGGAAGGATTGCTTGAGGCCAGGAGTTTGAGACCAGCCTGAGCAATGTAGTAAGATGCTGTCTCTACAAAAAATAAATAAACATTAGCCAGGTGTGGGGGCATGTGCCTGTGGTCCCAGCTACTCCAGAGGCTGAGGTGGAAGAATCTGTTGAGCCTGGGTGGTTGAGGTTGCAGTGAGCCATGATGGTGCCGCTGCACTTCAGCCTGGGTGACAGAGCAAGACCCAGTCTCAAAAAAAGAAAAGAGGGATAGCTTAGGCAACTGAATTGACTATAATAAGGCCTGCTAAATAGTGACACAGGGCCTTTAAATTAAGAAATGTATGCAAATTTCTGTTGAGAGTTCAACATAAACCAAATTGCCCCATGTACCAGAGACTCGGGAGTGGGGTGAATCCAAATCTCAGTACGTGAGGGCAGGGCAGTTCTCACAGAGCTGCTAGTCTAATCCTGGCATCAGGAAGAATATTCAGAGAGAGGTTTGGTAGAAACTACAGTCAATGTGAATGACCTTTTGAAGATAAAATAGATGTGGTATTATGACTTTTTTTTCCCCAAACACCAACTTGAACCAGATGATTTTTGTTCTTTTGTGTGTGTTGAAGGCAAACTGCTTTTCTAAACTTGCAAAGCCTCCCACCATATGCAAAATTGTTGGGAAAGACGTACTGGATGGATTGGGGCTTCCAACCCTGCAAGTAGAAATATTCTGCACCATTCAAAACTTTCCTAAGGTATGAAGCAGTTTAAATGTGTTCCTTAATGTCCTGGCCCCACTGCATTTATTAGCAACTCTTGTATAAACTGTAGAAAATTAATGTTTTGAAATCCAGTGTTTGTAAAATATATGTGTATTGCATAGGTAGTCATATAAGCATGAATTATACAATCAACCATGAGGGCTTTATTATGTTTAAGTGTAACTTTGATGCAGACATGACATACTAGCCCAAGGATGATCCAACATGGATAAAAGGAATGAGGCAAAAATAGTTTTTAAACTCTGACATGACTCATGTGGTAGGTTCTATAAATCTATGTGTAGGTTTATAAATTAGTCTATTTACCTATTTATAGATGTTAGGCTGACCTAAATAAATAATTTACTTTACTAGTTTTAACAATTTATTTTAATTCACTTTGCTACATATTTGTTAGAAATAATTTTTGCTATAGTCTTTGGTAGGAGAATAATAATGATTAAATCTGCATTTTGTTATTTATTGGAGAGGTAGTGATAAAAATGAAGTTCAACGTAGGGTTTTTCTACGGGTATTTTTAGTGTTCTATGAAGCTGGGTTCCACAATGTTTCAACAGCTATAAAAATATCTCAAAGAAAACTATTCTCATTCTTCCCTTGAAATTGGTGGTAAAATTTCATGCATTTAAAACCTGGCTTCATTTAATTTCCTCTTTCTGGGAGAGGTAGGGAACGTGTAGAACACATTTATATGATTTTCAGAGCATATGTTCTGTGGTGATCTCAACTCACTTTGAAGTCCATGAGAACGCTCTGCCCGAGCTGGCTGAGGTGGAGGAGGCAGAGAGGACCAGTGCAGTCAGCACCGCTGTGCAGTGGGTCAACAGCAGCATCACGCACGAGCTCCAGGGCATCGCACCCTTTGACCAGGCAGAGGTGGATCACCTACTCAGGTACAGCTTCCACTTTGAAATATAAACATTAAGTACAAATACACATCCACTGTATTTCCATTTCACCTGCCAATAAAATGGGCCTGTCAAATCTATAGAATTGGGAAGTCAGTTTACAAAGCATATGTGAAAGCAGCCACATTTAGCATAAAATTTGTTTCTCCTGAAAACCCTGTAATTAACACCTTATTGTGTAATGCTACATAGGGCTTTTTGGTCTCTTTCCATGTATAGAGCTTTCTTAAGACTTCGTAAAAAGTTTCTCAGGAAAAGAATCAGATTATGAATCCAGAGGATGCCCTTTTCCTCTCTCCACCCCATCGCATGCTACCTGTGAGCTTCTCATAACCTTTTATTTAGTCACAACAGCTGACACTTACATTCTGTCCTCCAGCCACAACTGAGTCTTTCATGCTTTGCCCATAGATTGACTCTAAAATGCTAAGGAGGAAGCATTTACAAGGGCTATTGAAATGTTCTTCATTGCCCAACTAAGTAATAGGTTAGAATCATTTTTCCGTTTTTGCAGGTCCAATGCCACAGCCCCTTGGCCAATATCAGGTCAATTGGATTCCCTTTCCTTAAGCTTTATCCCTTACTTAATTGTGTACAACATTTTAGTTTGCTTCAAAGTAAGATAATGACCTTTGTAAAATAAACTGTTTTCTTCTCTTTTTTCTTTTTTTCTTTTTTTTTTTTTTTTTGAGATAAAATCTTCCTCTGTCACCCAGGCTGGAGTGCAGTGGCATGATCTTGGCTCACCACCGTCTTTGCCTTCAAGGTTCAAGCAATTCTCCTGCCTCAGCCTCTGAGTAGCTGGGATTACAGGCACGCACCACTGTGCCCAGCTAATTTTTGTAATTTTAGTAGCGTCGGGTTTTCAGCATGTTGGTCAGGCTGGTCAAGAACTCCTGACCTTAAGTAATCCACCTGCCTCAACCTCCCAAAGGGATTACAGGTGTGAGTCACTGCACCCGGCCAAGAAATTTCTTTGCATAGGTTTTGGTTTTCTTGGAGTTTCTGAATGATATTCTTCTATTCCTTCTTTTTCTGTCTGCTGTCATTAGCAGAAAATGATAATCTGCTATTATCATTTTCTTAGTTTTTTTTTTTTTCCTCAAGCTCTCAGTCACATCTTATATTTTATTATTCTCCTTTTTTTCCTGGCATTTTCCCTCCCCAAACCACCCATCTGGACTGGTTCTTCTGTAGACCTTCTACAGAGATGCCATAAAGACTTAATTGTTCTCCTATTTCTGGATCCTACATTCTTTTATTTCATGATTTGCTGGATCATATCCTTTAAAAGTAAGGATGAGAAAGGGCATATGGGATGTAAATTTTCTTAGTTATTATATGTGTGGGAATACTGATACTTTGCCCCCATGGTTGATAGTTTAGCTGAGTATAGAATTCTCTGTTGAAATAAATTTCTCTCATACTTTAAAGGCATTGCCCCATTGGCATCTGGATTATTAATAAATCTGATGCAAATCTGATTCCTATGTCTTTGTTTTTTATTTGCATATTTTTTTGCCTACAGAAGTTTTTGCCTCTTCTTTTTATTCTGGGGTGCTGAAATTTTACATAAATGCATCTAAGTGGGATTTCCAAAAGTTTTTTTTAAATATTCATCCTAAGTGCCAAGAAAAAAAGAAAGGAAGTTCTCTATATTAATATGCTATATTTCACTCTGTTCTTGACACATTTGTTTCCTGATGGTCATTTATACAAAAATAAAATACTGTAACCCTTAATAAAATTACATCTTCAAGTTTTACTCTAAAAATGCAAACTCAGGGCTCAAATAATTTAAAAATGAGCATCTGAAATCTTTACACTTGATCTTAGCCAAAAGGCCGAGAAGCGATGACCTGAAATCTTTAAACATTTATTTCCATACCAAAATAAATTTCAGTTCTTGAACACAGTTTTATAACAACATTATTGTTGTTTTCTGGCCTTGAAAATTAAAGCTGATTTGTTCTTAAGTAGCTAAAAAGCAGAGTTATTTATTGAAATATATTGGGGTCAGCTCTAAAACATGACCAAAATCACAAAGTGATATTCCTAAATATCCCATTGTAAAGCCATATTTTCTTGCCATTTAGGAAATTCTTTGCAAGTAAAGTACAAGAAGATAAGGACAGAAAAGAATTGGAAAAGAGCCTGGAATACTCAACAGTGCTTATACCTCTACCTCCAGTTCCACCGCCACCACCTCCTCCACCTCCTACCAAAAAAAAGGGGCAAAAGCCAGGTTGGTTGGTGACTTACCATGTTGCATAACCCTTAGTAACAAATGTGTGAGGAAGAAAGGCTGAAGCTTGGACTGCCTTTCTGAGTCTCTGCCACAGACCCAGTTTGGCTTATGGCCAAATCCATCTTATGCCACATCCTCACTCAAAGATCTTGCCCCATCCAACTCTCCGTTTTTATTTCTAAAATAAAACAGTTTCTCACCCAAAGGTGAGAAATATTTTATTATTAACTAAGATACATTGAACAGTGCCTAGTCGGGTAGGGTGGGAGGAGATGGCATGGGAGACCTTTCACCTCCCTTCGAAATTTCCATTAGCTAATTAAAAAGCCACTCCACATCTTAGAGTTTTGATTCCTTTGATATGAACAACCAGCATTTTCTTAGCCCTATGTAAAATAGACATTTTCTTTACAAAACTATTTTAAAGCAAATAATAGAAATTATCACTTCAATTTGCCCTTGCTTCATGCCTTCCAACAGATTGCTAACCTCAGCCTCTGCAGAACATCATTCTGGAGCTGCTCTTAGTGTAGTAACAGGGTTTTGTATGTCTGCTGAACTAGAACATGCTCCTTAAGAGATGAATCATGTTTATTCCGCTTGCCATTGCTCGTATCTAGCATGAGGCCAGGCACGAACCAAACACCCAATTAATGCAGGTTCCACTGAGTAAGAAAGCAGTAGAACCAGGAAGGGACCAAAGAGACCAGGGAGACAGGCTATCTTATTTCATAGATCCAGATGCTGAGGCCCAGAGAGGTAAAGAGATTTGCCCAAGACAAAATAACTATTTTTAGCAATCTTCCCCTTGGGAGGGTGTGATGGCCACTACTTAGTTGTAAGTAGAGACCAACATGGATGTTCATTTGGTGGTTGCTTTTGACTGATTGAACCTGGAGCTTAAGAGAATGGAAGAAGTGGAGGGGACAGGTATTTGCTAAGCACTCATTAGGCATGAGGTGCTGAAATATCTCCACTGGGGGCCTGAAACACATCGGCAGCTGTGGAGGAAAGGACAAGAGGAACACTAGAGATGTGCAATGAACTCTGTCTGGACCTCACAAGACAGGGAGGCTGAGAACATATTATAGTGAAAGATAGGTAGAGAATCTGGGTCAATGTTTGGATCTGAAAGGCACTGCTACAGATCGTAAACAACACAGAACAAGGCATTGGTTTGGGGTTGGTGAGAAAGATATCAAGTTAGATATATGCATGAAGAGATGTTCAACAGAAAGTTAAGTATGCAGCAGCTATGGTGAAATATAGAAAAACAAATATTTGAAATGTAAAGACAGGTCAAATCCTCTCTCTACTTCTGTTACGTTAGGCAAGTCTTTTAACCTCTCTAAGCCCCAGTTAACATATATGTAAATGTAGAATAAAAATATCTACCTCATGTGATTGATGAAGGAATTAATATCAAATAGCCTAAAATGTCTTAAACAGGCAAAATCCATGGCTAATGATTATTTGAGAATCTTAAGCAAAATCAAACAGAAAACTTCTTGGGGGTTGAGGTAGAGCATCTGTTTTTCCCAGCCTCAGCTTTCATCCTTTCCTTTTCCTGGGCCATTCCATTTGTAAGTAAAGCATTTAGAAATACAGTCTTACTCTCAATATTTCTCCCTCCAGGGAGGAAGGATACTGCTACAGAAAAACCTATTGCACCTGCAGAACCTGTTGAACCTGTACTCAGTGGCAGTATGGCCATAGGCGCTGTGTCACTAGCTGTTGCCAAAACCTGTGGCATGCTGCTTAATAATCCTCTGTACTTAAATATTGCTCTATTGAAGCACAATCAGGTTAGTATCTATGAAGTTCCATTAAAAGGAGCCATGAGTATCTCAATATAGATGAACCCTCTTTCTCATTTTCCCTTGTTTCCCCCCTATTTCAGGAACAGCCAACAATGCTATCTATGCCTTTGCTGATGGTATCGCTGGTCAGCTGTGGGAAGTCATCATCTGGGAAGCTAAATTTAATGAAAGAAGTGATATGTATACCCCATCCTGAATTAACAACCAAACAAGTACCTTACATTATCTCAAATTACCTTTTCTAAAAAAAAAAAAAAAATACTCCATTGTTGATGAACTTTTAGAGTAGCTCCCTTGTAACACCAAGGGAGAGGGAATTAAAGACAAAATAAGAAAAAAAATATTTTAGGAAGTCAGAGAAGTGGGAAAAAAGACCTCAGACAAAAGGGAGCGCATGTAGACCACCTTAGATGTCTGGTTTCATGACAGCATTGACTCAGGCTGGTGACTCACAGAGAAGCCATAGGTAAGAAACTGCAGACCTATAAGGTGCTGGAAGGTTATTTGGAGCACCTTTATTTACTCTGCACTGTGTCCTATGGCAGGAGCAAGTGAAAGCCAACACCTAGCAACCCACTCGGTTAAGTGGGTTAACAGGACTAGCAGATTGCCTGGAACCTATGAGGCTTTTAAGGCATATTCTTGGAGTGAATCAATCTCAAGTTGCATGTTCACCACTGAGAGGTGTGCTAGGGTCTATAGGGGTGCTCCTCAGTATCCTGAAAGAGTCAATATGCCTCTTTAAATCTTCATGATGACTAAAGGTTCATGATGTTTTCAAAAAAAAATACAGAAAGCTTTCCAATAAGTTGAATGATATTTTATCTAAGTTAGTGGAAATCAG